TGTTTTGCTTTGTAACTTTTATTTAAGTTTACAAGATTAACAATATAGCCCTTGATAAAGGGTTGGATGGTCAAAATTATAAATGTCATGGTTGTTCCAGACCAATTGGAATGAGTATGATCAATGAATTCTCGACTTGTTATTTGCTAATAACTCAAATATATTTATTTTCAAATTTCTTAGCTTAATAAATGTTATCCTTTGTAGAAACTATTACAACAAAGTACATAATCCCTTTTTTCCGTGAAGCCCATGGATGCGTTCGTTCATGATGAAAGAGTCATATTGTATAAGGAGGCTCTTGTTCATCACGAGAAAGTTATGAGAAAGTTACGTTGTAAAAGGTAATAAGTAAAAAACGTATAAACATGCTTAGTGTTTGTTTAAGTTAAAGTTCAAAAAGGCAGAAATTTTTTGAACCTTTGAAGTATCCTTGGACGTTCTAGTTTTTTATGAGAAGAATTCTTGTAAAGAAAAGTTAAATTTTGAAAACCAAACAATCCGTTTTCGGTCCATGCCTCGGGGTTCAACAAAAAGGGATGTGTGACATACCAGGGGGGTGTGAACAACCTACTCTCACACATGCGAAAGTAAATATTGTCTGATCATAGGGTCAATAACCTTGCCATATGTTGAAAAATTATCTGTGTCATACACAATAGTTATGCTCTTGACATGTTCCATTAAAAAAGGATCAACAAATTCTACGAAACATGAGTCGCCATGAATTGTTTTCATGTTGATAAGAAAGTCTTTGACAAGCTTTATAATTCTATACTCTGGGATAGTGCTAAAATAAAGTGGTAAATACTATTAAGATGTTAATGCTTATTATCAAATTGAATAAATGGTTTTGTTCACGTTTTGACAGCACAGTGGTATTTGAAGAAGTGAGTCTGTTGAAGCACAACATATGACCAGTGACGTCAATCTAGTAACATATTAAAATTATTCAAGTTTCTTTACAAAACAAAAACATGATTTGTTCATTACCTAGTTTCACCTGTAGCATGGTTTCACTAACACAGACTCACTCAACTAGATTATTACATGAAATGCAATTCAATATCCTTCTGCATACAGTCCTTTGTTCATATTATGAACTAACCTTTCTTTGCATTCATTTACTTCGACGTTTAAGAATGGCTGACTTGGTAAAGGCAGTGCTTCAGAAAGTTCTTGAACTTTATCCATTTTAACGATATTGCTTTAGTTAGAGATGTTATACAAAAGATTATTCACAATATTGGCTGTGTAGGAAAAAACTTAAATATCTTTGCTATGTAGAAATAAAAATAAATATCGTTTCAATTTCCCGCTATGAAACTCAAAGTCAGACTCAGGCATAACAATAACATATATATCTATTACCTTGTTTCAGCTTTCAAAAAAAACTTTATATGTTCTTTAAAATATTATTTGTCTTTCACTCTTTTACAACAGATATGTGGAGAGAAATATTCTTGCGGAGAACGAATGCTTGTGAGGTTTAAAATTAAAAATTGTTATGTTGTTTTCTTGGAAGACGATATATAACTTTTACATGAAGTAGTTAACATGATAACGATGGTCAAATGTGGTCTTATTTCTAAGGAAATTTCTCAGAAAAGAATGGCCTATTTGAAGGAAATTTCTGGAAATTTCTCAAAAAATTAATTGTTTGGACAAATTCTTGGGCAATTCTTAAATTTTACAAATTTATATACACGCTTTTAATCGTGCTTGTTTTACAATATTTACAGTTGAGTCATTTTGGAAAACTGTATAAAACAAGATGAAGCATATGAAGTAAGAACAGAAGACTTTGTTACAACGATTCCGTCATTGTAGCAAACATATCCTAGAGCTTAATCTGAGGGGTGATGGCTCACCTGTATCACCATAGGATGCTTCTTGACATACGGTACACTGATAATACGTCAATCATCCCCAAAATAACTGAATAAAACCAACGTAATCCCTTCTCGTATAGAACGTCCTGTTCAAATCCAGCCAATCCAACTGTCTGAACAAAGCAATAATTTTTTTCATGAACTGTTTGAATAGAATATATCTATTTTTGAATGTTGTGTCAAGTGTCAATAAAGTGTTAAAGAAAAACAATAAGCAAAAGTTGGAACATTAACGTCTACGTAATCACAAGCATAAGCAACGAGCGTGCTTATGACTCTCTCGAGGGTTTACAGAAAAAAACATCAAAAATCATATTCTTCTTTTCAATATTTTATACTTCTTTCAGCTTAGGAAACAACATAAAAATAACACCACGCTTTTATGGGCAAATTTATTCCTAAAGCTCCTCCCATCCACTCAAAAGAGCGAAGTTACACCATTACACAGGCTTAAGGAAATGTGTTAGGCATTAGCTGAAAGAAGAACACAAAAGAACAAGAGAAAAAAGAAGATTTCCATGTCTTTCTGTGTAAACTCTGAAGAGAAAAAGAAATAAAGTTTTATCGTTTATGCTTATTCTATTCGTATGTACCATGCATTCAATTTTGTTTTCTCATGAGACCTAAAAGACCAGGAAAACGGAAATTCTTTTGAATATTGTTTTGTTTATGCTCATGTTGATTCTAATCCTTCATTTATTCTGTCTTGTTTCACAATTAATAATCACTTTTGCTTGTGCTGTAAGACTAGTATGACCAAAGACAGCACCAAAAGCACCTTCTCGTTGTGTAACTTTGCCATTGGAAGTTGAAAAGAAGAAAATCATTTTTCTATGACAGCCACAGGCTAAGAAACTCAATTTTAAAACAAATAATTTAAAAGTGTACACGGTTAAGAATCACTGACGATAATAAGAAAAGATGGCAATGAAGTGAACGCAAGAGCCAGGGTGTCACAATAATTTATGATGCTGAACATACTAAATTATTTGATCAGAGAGCCATGTTAAAGTACTAAGAAGTAACCAAAGTGATTAGTGATTTATTAACGAACATAATAAGTTCATGGTGCGATGATTTCCGATACTGAAAAATCAATTCATTTCTCTCGTATTCTATATTTCTAGACAACAAAGTTGACTTCAAGATGTTGCTAACGGAAGAAACAGATCATCCTTCGACCCAAAACATCCTTCTTCATTGTCCATATCAATAATTCGACCGACCAACAGAGAGCTAGCTTATGTTTGATTATTGCCTAGTTCTGACACGTGCTTGATTTGGTAATAACTGGGGGATTTGGTAGTAAAGAGATGTGTTGTACTTGTGCAACAACTGACTGGCGCTTCTATATACCATGGAGTAATTTTGTAGATGTTAGCACAAATCAGTTAACATGCTTTAGAGCATGTTAATATAAGAGTGCTTCTTGCGCTCATATCTTGTGTAAAATTAAAACAAAATCTAATTTACATTAAATCAATCATCATGGTTGAAGAGAAATTGCAATACGCTGGCAGAGTATTGCAAAATCTTTAAACTCAACATCTATGCGAAATGATTATCACGAGCCAGTCAGACTAGCCGTCTACTTTGAATATTTAATGGTTTATTTGTGCCTATGATTGCACTGTTATAATATTGAGGATGTTATAACAGTGTCTACAAAGCAATAAAAAATTTAACTTCCGGTGATGTTCTAATGTTTGGTAAATGATTTAGCCAAAATAGCTATTTTGCATGATTGTATAGAACTATTGCAATCATAAAGATAATTCCTCGGGAGAGGAAACTGTTTCCAAATTTTCGAATCCAACTTGAGGGCTCGTCATGAATGCTCGTCTGTCCATTATGTTCAATGGAGATGATTGACTTCGTTTGAAAAATCTGACAGTAACTTTTGTGCCATAAAAGTAAACCTTTCCTGTAAATGTTTGCAGTTTACAGCTGTTTTCTGAAATCATCGTAAAGTACCAGTTTTGATAGAAATTTCGACAGATCGTCTGCAAACACTGGTTTTTGAAAATTTATATGCTCCTACAGTTCGTCATGATTGTATTTTAACATTATTCTTACAGTTATTCATGGCACTGAACGATGAAGATTGAGACTGCGGTATGTGTTTGTTTGTCAGTTGTTTGCTTGTTTGCTTCATCATACTGCAACTTTTTCCTCAGTATTTTTCAGATGCAGAGGTCGATAAGATCAAGAATAGCAGAACAGAGATGTAAGCATGTATTTGTTTGTATCGTTCATCAAATCTTCTTTGCTTCAATTTCTTTCAGAACCACATTGCCGTAACCTGTCATTGTCAAGCAACGCTTCTTGCAGTAAGTTAAACCAATATTTATTACTTATTTTGGAGAAGATATTAAAATTTAAAGAAGGCATGTTTCGAGAAGACAAAATTTTCGACTTCCATTCTTCGGTGTTTGCAGATGATCATAAACATGCACAAAAACACAAAACATGCACATAAAAGATTTTTACAATATTCTAACTAAACTAGAGAGTTCCCTCGCTCTCTAATTTAGTGAAGAATTTCAAAGAAATTCAAGTATTCCAAAAGAGACTTCTGCCACCTATTTTGAAATAACTTGCACAAAATTTCAAGCAGCGTACACTTGATATTCTCATAGAAATTTTTTGTAATTAAAATAAGATCATACGTATGTAATATAAAATTTGACTAAATCAAAACAATTTTTCAAATGATAGCCAAGTATTCGAAACTTCGATGTAAACTAATAGAATTTGTATGAATACAATTAATAAGAACTTACTGTTTGTTCATTCTTGGAGGAAGATTGGGTGGTTGGAAATGGCATTAATTTTTTGGGAAACGGATGTTTTATATGGACCGTTTACATTCTATATAATAAGTCGTTCATGTTTTGATTGACGTTGTCAGTCAGTGAATTGTAAGTCAAGATGTATCAACTATGAAATACAACCGGAAATCCTTATATATATGTGTCTCTATGTATTGTGTTCAAGAGTAAAACAATCTTCCTTATTATATTACATTTACCATTCACTATGGTATTTGCTATCTTTAGAACTATGTATTATTTCTTTCTCTACAATGTTGTCGCTTTTACAGGAGTAAAAGCACGAAAATATTTATATGACATGAACAAACTTGCTTGATGACAACTTTGCTCAGTCAAATACTTATTATCTATCAATTACGTATTTACAGAAGTCTTGATTTGAACTACATTTATGCGTTTATTTGCTAAACCTAGTCTTCCCCAATGTTGTTTTCTTCTTATTTCAGACATCCTAATGTAATTATATTGACAACATCGAACATAACTAGAGCCATAGACGTTGCGTTCGTGGACAGGTTGAAAATATGTTTGTGACTCGAAAGTTTTTTAATTCACTTTCTCATCTAACTTCGCTATTTGTTCGCCCACAGAGCCGACATCAAACAGTATATTGGTCCGCCATCAGCCAAAGCTATTTACAAAATTTACCATTTGTTTGTATGTAACTTATGTCTTCTTGTGCACGTGATCAACGAAATGGCTGCCGGTCAATTATGTTTTCTGGCCAAAAGGAACGCCGAAATGGCTTACCGCAACCTGTCATCATATACAATATAAAACAACAATTTGCCTCGTGAAGTATATCCCCTCTTCTCAGTACTTTGTACCTTTACGTCTACTGCTTTATTTCCATACCACAATATAGTCGTTTGTGCAAGTTATACAAACATGTTGCTTAAATAGAGAGGTGTGCAGCTATATAGAAATTGATTGCAAACGATTGCATTGTAGATAATTTTTTAATAATCAAAATTAATGTTCACCGTTTCATCACAGACCAGTATCATATCACCAGCCACTCAAATTTTGGATTTAAGGTACAACTGAAAAAATACACGAAATTTTATTTTGACGAAAATTGACGGTGTTTGTTAGAAATTTTTTTGTTCACTTCTATGTTGATGACATGGTTTTCTTTTCCGATGTACAACTTTTTTTCCCTATTTTCCATTGTAGCTTTGTCGACAACGATGTAACACACTGTAGTCTTGAATTAAAGAAGATAGCCGAGTAAGTGAAGTAGATGTTTGTAGATGTAGATCGTCGAGGTTAGTGGTGTCCTGCGAAGGACTGTTGATGTTGATGTTGACTGACTTCTTAACAACCTTAGCGGTAGTCATCTTTAGAGTCAGCATCAACAACAACAGTTCTTTTCAGGACTTTACTAACCTGGACGATCTACATCTACAAACATGTAACGATACTCCCATGTTCAAACCTTTCACTTTAAAGTAAAGTGATGTCACAGAGTAAAATAAACATTTCTTGTCTTAGTTTATGGTAAATATTATGTCACCCAGTCTTCATGTTTTCAAGTTAGTATTCTTCTCGTTTTACAAAGAAAACGAAACTACGCCGGGGATTTTCAGAAGTTGTCTGAACCCTGGCAGTATGTTCTAGTTTCTTTTATGAGAAGAATTCTTGTAAAGAAAAAGACAAATTTTGAAAGGAAAAACCCGTTTTCGGTCCATGCTTCCCGATACCTTCTTAAGCGTAAGGCACTAAAACGCGGCATGTTAACGTTTCGGTAGCAGATTTCGGCCCCTCCACGCTATCCTACTTGGGAGATGCAATAGCAAGCTTCCGCCCATCAGACCCGAGATCACCTGCGATAGGCTTTGCTCGGGGTACGCAGAGAGTGCGGTCGCCACCGAAGTGTGGACCCTAAGCCACTGCATACTATATCGCACCCAGCTTCCACTGCTAGTTGACATCTACTATATGAAGCTATAGATTTATATTTATATATACAAAATTTAGAGGCTTACGAAATTTGTGGTATTATTAAAGTCACAACTGCGCATGCCCAGATAATTTCTTTGATAATTTGCGATTAAGTGGGATAATTGCCCCAGATGTAGTGCAAGTACATCTAGTTAGTCGTTGCCATGACTATAAACAATTAGTCGAGTGGGCTGCGCATGCTCGAGCGCATGCGCAGATGATTTCTCCATTAAATTGTTACTAAACATGCTATTTACTTCAAAATCGGGGCTAGTAGATGCAATTGGTCGTTGCCATGACCATGAACATTGGCAGCCAATCAATTTAACTGCGCATGCTCAGTTGATATCTTTAATAGTTTGTTAATAAGCAAGTTATATACTCCTAATTGATGCTAGTAAATGTAGTTGGTCGTTTCCATGACTATCAACTCGGACAATTGGTCAAGTGGACTTTGCATGCTTGAGCGTGCTGCGCATGCCAAGCGTACTGCGCATGCTCAGATGATCTTCTTATATTTTTGTGACCAAGCGATTAATTACTCAGTAAGTGATGAAAATAGGTCCAGCTTGTTGTTGCCATCACTATGAATATGAAAATTTGTTAAATGACTAAATTTCTCATTATGATTGAAATTTATGATTTCCCAATATGTGACCAAGTGAACCACAGAAGGATGCAAGCTTGTTCTGTTTGTCATTGCCATGATTGTAAACTCGAACAGTTTGTTGAGTTGTTTGTGCATGTTCAGATGAGTTCTCAAATAATTTAGGACTGAGGTTTAAAATATACCGTCTTAATACTTGCAACATAAATAAAATTTAACTTTGTATTACATCTACATTTAAGGCGTAAAGATGTTTTTTTCTTTGTTATCGTAGTCAGTAGTTATCAAGTAATGGACCACTCTCAAATAATCACGAATATTGGTTGACTTTTGGTTAGGTTTCTTTGGGAGGCCCTTCTCCTTTTGAACTTGCAAGGAGCAGTCAAGCGTCTCACTGTGATAAACCTACGAAGTATTCTTTCTCTCATTTTCTTGTTTAGAAAAAGTTATCAACTAAGTGGTCGAACTCTTCGTAAACTACCATTCCTTGCACATGCGCTGTACTCAAAAGTAAGTAATACGAATTAAAGCCTTCACCCGTGTTCTTTTTTGTTGTACATGCATGTACTTATATTGTCCCTCAAACCTACGTAATAGGCGCAAACGATAACCTTAGAAGAGTTTTTGAATAAGCGTGCAAATGTGATCTTTCTAGCGATTGTATACTTTTTATACATTCATAGTAATATTTTGGATATGTTTTGTTGAAGATTAAGATTTTGTATTGCTCAATTTAAGTTCAATAAGTAACATAGATCACAAAGTTTGCTAATTTATATTGATGCTTTAAGACTCCTTACATGACGTTTCCGCAACACACCGAGGTCAAAGTTCGTATATATTAAAATGCAACAATGTGTATAGTTCGTTATTGAGGATAATGTATAGATTATTTTACATAGGGAAAGATATTTATACGCTATAGTTAATTGTAACTGTTTAATTTCAACTTATGTTTACATTAAATGACATCCTTAAGCCAACTTTACTAATATTGATCGCTATTTTCGTGTTATACATCTATAATCATCTTGTTGTTAAAGATTTGAAGCTTTGCTGCGATAATACAGGTTTGTACAGCTATCTCATCTTTGTTTGTTGCCTGCCTGATAGCATGTCGACTCCGGGGACCAGATTTTTTATCGTGATTTATATGACATTATAGATTGTCGTACGTCTATCTAATATCTTGAGTATAAACGATATGTTTTGAAAGATGAGTTTACATATACTCTAGCGTAGTGTCTTCATCAGGAGTGATCTGATGTTGAAACTTGAGTCTTTATATACTCCAGTCTAGTGTCTTCATCAGGAGTGATCTGATGTTGAAACTTGAGTCCTTATATACTCCAGTCTAGTGTCTTCATCAGGAGTGATCTGATGTTGAAACTTGAGTCCTTATATACTCCAGTCTTATGTTTTCATCAGGAGTGATCTGATGTTGAATCTTGAGTCCTTATATACTCCAGTCTTATGTTTTCATCAGGAGTGATCTGATGTTGAATCTTGAGTCCTTATATACTCCAGTCTAGTGTCTTCATCAGGAGTGATCTGATGTTGAAACTTTAGTCCTTATATACTCCAGTCTAGTGTCTTCATCAGGAGTGATCTGATGTTGAAACTTGAGTCCTTATATACTCCAGTCTTATGTTTCATCAGGAGTGATCTGATGTTGAATCTTGAGTCCTTATATACTCCAGTCTAGTGTCTTCATCAGGAGTGATCTGATGTTGAATCTTGAGTCCTTATATACTCCAGTCTTATGTTTTCATCAGGAGTGATCTGATGTTGAATCTTGAGTCTTATATACTCCAGTCTAGTGTCTTCATCAGGAGTGATCTGATGTTGAAACTTGAGTCCTTATATACTCCAGTCTAGTGTCTTCATCAGGAGTGATCTGATGTTGAAACTTGAGTCCTTATATACTCCAGTCTTATGTTTTCATCAGGAGAGATCTGATGTTGAATCTTGAGTCCTTATATACTCCAGTCTAGTGTCTTCATCAGGAGTGATCTGATGTTGAATCTTGAGTCCTTATATACTCCAGTCTTATGTTTTCATCAAGAGTGATCTTTTATTGAAACTTTCGCTAGTGTTATTTAACCATGTTATCTAAAAACTTTATCCTACATAGTCCATTTTTGTTTTTGTGTTTCCACTTGTTTTCTTTAATGTTTTAAAATAATGTTCTTGACAGCAGAGAATTATTCTCATTATGATTTGGTCGTTGGAATACTTTCATCGCGCGGCAACTTTGATTTGAGGCAAAGTTTACGTGAATCATGGGTTGGCTATGCAAGGCGACATTCATCTCTAAATAAAAGGGAAGCACAGGGAAAACACTGAATTTTCTTGAGGGTAGCTGTAGTGTGTTATGTATTCAATTAGAGCTACTTAGCGTGTGAAACGTTACAGCAAACACAATATTTGTGAAGGTAAAGTGTAGAACAGTGTTTCAAATTTGCCTGTCGCGTTTACAACGAATTTCTTTAATACCAGAGAACGTTTACAACGTATTTCTTCAATACCAGAGAACGTTTACAAAGTATTTCTTCAATACCAGAGAACGTTTACAACGTATGTCTTCAATATCAGAAAACGTTTACAAAGTATTTCTTCAATACCAGAGAACGTTTACAACGTATTTCTCCAATACAAGAGAACGTTTACAACGTATGTCTTCAATATCAGAGAACGTTTACAACGTATTTTTTCAATACCAGAGAACGTTTACAAAGTATGTCTTCAATACCAGAGAACGTTTACAACGTATTTCTTCTATACCAGGGAACGTTTACAAAGTATGTCTTCAATACCAGAGAACGTTTACAACGTATGTCTTCAATATCAGAGAACGTTTACAACGTATTTTTCAATACCAGAGAACGTTTACAAAGTATGTCTTCAATACCAGAGAACGTTTACAACGTATTTCTTCAATACCAGAGAACGTTTACAACGTATTTCTTCAATACCAGAGAACGTTTACAACGTATTTCTTCTATACCAGAGAACGTTTACAACGTATTTCTTCAATGCCAGAGAACGTTTACAACGTATTTCTTCAATACCAGAGAACGTTTACAACGTATTTCTTCTATACCAGAGAACGTTTACAACGTATTTCTTCTATACCAGAGAACGTTTACAACGTATTTCTTCAATACCAGAGAACGTTTACAACGTATTTCTTCAATACCAGAGAACGTTTACAGCGTATTTCTTCTATACCAGAGAACGTTTACAACGTATTTCTTCAATACCAGAGAACGTTTACAACGTATTTCTTCTATACCAGAGAACGTTTACAACGTATTTCTTCAATACCAGAGAACGTTTACAACGTATTTCTTCAATACCAGAGAACGTTTACAACGTATTTCTTCAATACCAGAGAACGTTTACAAAGTATTTCTTCAATACCAGAGAACGTTTACAAAGTATTTCTTCAATACCAGAGAACGTTTACAACGTATTTCTTCAATACCAGAGAACGTTTAAAACGTATTTCTTCAATACCAGAGAACGTTTAAAACGTATTTCTTCAATACCAGAGAACGTTTACAACGTATTTTTTCAATACCAGAGAACGTTTACAACGTATTTCTTCAATACCAGAGAACGTTTACAACGTATTTCTTCAATACCAGAGAACGTTTACAACGTATTTCTTCAATACCAGAGAACGTTTACAACGTATTTCTTCAATACCAAAGAACGTTTACAACGTATTTCTTCAATACCAGAGAACGTTTACAACGTATTTCTTCAATACCAGAGAACGTTTACAAAGTATTTCTTCAATACCAGAGAACGTTTACAACGTATTTCTTCAATACCAGAGAACGTTTAAAACGTATTTCTTCAATACCAGAGAACGTTTAAAACGTATTTCTTCAATACCAGAGAACGTTTACAACGTATTTTTTCAATACCAGAGAACGTTTACAACGTATTTCTTCAATACCAGAGAACGTTTACAACGTATGTCTTCAATACCAGAGAACGTTTACAACGTATTTCTTCAATACCAGAGAACGTTTACAACGTATTTCTTCAATACCAAAGAACGTTTACAACGTATTTCTTCAATACCAGAGAACGTTTACAACGTATTTCTTCAATACCAGAGAACGTTTACAACGTATTTTTTCAATACCAGAGAACGTTTACAACGTATGTCTTCAATACCAGAGAACGTTTACAACGTATTTTTCAATACCAGAGAGCGTTTACAAAGTATTTCTTCAATGCCAGAGAACGTTTACAACGTATTTCTTCAATACCAGAGAACGTTTACAACGTATGTCTTCAATACCAGTGAAATGTTTGGTAAACTAATCTGATTACCGATATGAGTAACGTTTTAGCAATTGTCAGATCTACGTAGAATCGAATTGGACATTTTTAGCTGACCGCCATTCTTTAAGTAGTGTAGCGTTGTGCGTTTCTATGATGGCCTATTGAATATACCAACAGCAAGGTCTTTAGTTTCGTTTATCAGTTTTGTTCTACACAAGAACAACTCATGCAAACTGCATTCTTTGTCATATGATAAATTTAACTGTGTTGACTAACGTCATTGTATTGAGGCTAAACTCAAATATTCACAAGAAATAACGGTTCACGGTACACTTGCCTAAAATATCCCTTTCTTTGCTGTGGTTTTCTTGGCCAGAGTTCCCAACAACCGTTTCTGTCGCAAAAAAAAAATTGTACCAGTGATATAACTAAGTACAATGACTAAATCTGAAAAATAAAGTGTTGGTTACTATTCCATTGTTGTTTTAGAGTGTTGGTGAAGTTCATCGTTTCAAATAATGCATGTTACGTTCCTCCAGAGTTCAGGATTGATCCTTACAAATGCGAAAGAAAGAAAATCGAATCTCCAAGTTTGAAAATTTACTTTTGATTTGATAGTTGTGAGGTTTGGCGCCTGGAAAAAGCCGATATAAAACAATATGACGTTGGAGTCTCGATGCAGGCGATAAACTAACGAGGCACATATTTACAAAAGTCGAACATAACCTACTATACATGTGATATTTAAAGTTAATCAGTTGACACTGACTCTGAAGGTGACTACCGCTAAGGTTGTCGAAACGTCAGTCAACAACAACAAAAACAGTCCTTCTCAGGACTTTATTAACCTGGACGATCATCATTTACAAACATTTAATGCTTAAGTCAGTCTGTGTACTTGCTGACCTATACCACCTGCCCTCCTCGATATTAAATTTTTCCTGTCTGTTTTAAAGGTATACTTCTTGAAAAAATACAATGTAAATCAAAGAAGGCGTTCTCGGGGTAGTTCGTCTATAGCCACAACGATGACGGATCTTCGTAAATCACCATTTCATCTCAACCGTTTGGAGGACGGTACTTTGGTGTGCGAAAACGATGAAGAGAAAAGCCGCGAGGGTCTGGAAACTGAGAATATACAACTGAGGGTAAGATGTTTTGGGAATACTGTTTGAGTACAGATTAAAACGAGGATTTTTCGAAGAATGTTCAAAGAAACAATGTCAATGGTTATTGTCTTAAATACAAAGAACGACTCTCCATTTGCAAAGTGGGTGGCCTAGGTTTGAGGGTTAGGGAGATTTGTCAGATCATCGCAGAGTTGCTAAAGAACGAGTCGATCGTGAGATGCGCCAGGGTCTGACGGGAAGGTATGGGGGAAATGAGTTGAACTTTGGTCCCTGTGATGGTATTCACGTCCAATTACGGTCTTTCAGTTTCTCAAAACTTGAAAATTGAATGTGTGCTCCTTGTGACAGCACATTATGCATTAAGCCATTTATAGGCGCACGTCAAACAACGTGTGAAATATGCTTTTGTTAAACAACTGCCAAAATCTCAACTCACGCCACACGCGAAAGTGATCATTATCACTTGTAGTTGATTATTATCCCCAATTTACAGAGATTATCATCTTCAATATAGAGTAATTATCCTCAATTAAAACCATTGAAATTGTAGCAAAGAATCCGTTAACACTTATGAAATAAGCCGATTTGATGTTCAATTAATGACATTCCTATATTAAAATCATTATCCTTACACTTTTCACAGGAGGAAATACGTGATTTGACTGCGAAACTTGCAGCATGTGAATACAAACAACAACGAGAGCAGAGACGACAACAAGGAAGTCCACAAGAAAACAGCTACATTTCCACGAGTAGCGAGACTCGTCACTCCAGATTCAACAGCGAGACGGAGAGCGCTCAGGGTCGAGATTCGGAATCTCCCGATAAAATTGGTCAAAAGGTGTCGAACGTTGCCGACAGCTTGACAAGCAACGGTAGCGTGTTCACACGCGAGGAAAGAGGTGGAAGTTTAATAGAAGATATTAAAAACGCTGATCGTTTTATCGCCCTACCAAACGGTAGTAGCGTTTCCGATGAAGAAACTTTAACGGTCATGTCAAACGTTTCTGTTGAATCCTCGTGATATTGAAAAGATTCTTGGAGGAATATGGCCGTGTGTTCTACTGAAGAGAATATTTATGGATCCTGTTTCAGGAAAGATGAGATTTGACAATGAACTGTGGTACAACTTGACTACCACGAAGATGTTTCCACATAAAGATTAACTCCTACGAGAAGAAAGTTAATTATAAACGATCGAATCGACTTACTAAACCTTTCCCACAATAAATATTCAAACGCAAAAAACGACATGCATTTCGTTAAGAAAATGTGAAACATTTTATGCTTATCTCTGATTTTATGACGTTTTTCGTCGCTAATGACGTAATTTGACGCTATGACGTAATTTGATCGCAGCAACACTCAAGTCTGTACTTATACACTTTACACAATTAGCATTGCAATAAATATTTTACATGAAGTACGCAGGGACATAAGCGAGGCTAATCGAAATCTTTACACCTGCATGGCAAATTTTTTAGCAAAATTATTCGGAATTATTTCGATTGTTTTTGCAGTTAATGAACACAAAAATATTTGCATAGCAGGAATAATGTCGATATTCCAAGCAATAACCATTTTATACAAAAACGTTTACACAGCGCTATAGATTTTATTTAATTTAAATTAATGTCGTTCGTAAAAAGCCAAAACATTAAATTTGTAATATAGAGAAAATAGATTAAATTAAGTGAAAAAAAAAGATAAAAAGTTTAATTGAAGCTGTACTTTTCTATCTTTTTGTGAGGATTTGGAATTTTTCTTATCTCCCTCTTCCCCTCCCCGACATAACTAACGTACCTCAACATTTGCAAGGATTACCGCAGGACATAAAGTTTTCCCATAAATAGAGAAGAGAATCGGCATCCTGCTCGGGCAAGGTAAACATTTCCATCTGACAATCCCCGAAACACGACCATCGCTCATCCTGAAGTATTTGAAATAGAAAGGAAACACCGTCACATGTTCGGCCGCTGGTTCATAAGAACCTGGGCTCGTAAGAGTAAGATCACCATAAAGGATCTTGTTGAACAACCGTCACAAACTTGCAGAGAAGAAAAGGAGATCTTACCTTATAAATTTCAGGAGCAATAGCTGATAACCAAATACCCATAGAGACATCCTCCCCCTTTACACAAGAAAGAAAAAAAACATGTGTCAATATCTAGTACTCTGAGAACTACATCTTTACACATCAAGAGGTCACTTTCAACATTGTAATCTCGTCGTGGTTTTTCTATCATATACCTGATAACGTTTTAGAGATTTCTCGTTTTTTGCCAGCCAGTGAACAATATCCGAAGATATAATGCTGCCCGCACCGCAGGCAAATGTCGGATAAGCCACTCCCGGATAATCAGGCTCGGCCCATTTTCCCTGTCTCTCGATCAACCAATCAGTACGAAAGCTGTAAATATGAAGAAGCAATTGCATTTAGAAGCAATAACTACAACTCATTCTCATACCTTATTTATAGTTTAGTCGCATGGAAAACGCTAATTCGTATGTTTGCAATCTCGTTTCTGTTTTACTTGAAAATATTATAAATTTGGCAATTCCTAATGCCCAAAACATGATATCTCAAAGGATTTTCACTATGTCAATAAAATCTTTAGAATGGACTCAGTATAAAGTAGATGGTTTGAACCCGGGAGTATCGTTACATGTTTGTAGATGTACATCGTCCAGGTTAGTAGAGTCCTGAGAAGTGTTGTTGCTGTTGGTGTTGACTAACATTTCGACAGTCTTAGCAGTAATATTTTTGACTCTGAAGATGACTACCGCTAAGGTTGTCGAAACTTCAGTCAACATCAACACCAACAGTCCTTCTCAGGACTCTACTAACCTGGACGATCTACATCTACAAACACGTACACAGAATATTGTGTACTGACGGAGTTGAGCTAAACTCACCTTCCCCACCACAATTTAGACGTGTTTTTTAAATTATGACTTTCCATTTCCTAAAAATATCAAATATTTCTTCAGTCGTTAAGTTCTTCGGTACACTATTAAAGATATAAAGCTTAATTAAAGACACCCTTACAAATCGCTTGATTGAGTAAAATCTTTAGATTGAGTCAAAAATCATCTGTGCAGCTTGTATACTTCCGGAGGTAATTAATGTTGAAATCGACTCTATACTGAGCATGCGCAATTTCTATTTCCTCGTGCTTTTATTGTAGAGACTCGGGACGAGGCTCATTCCAAAGCTCTCAATGAGAGGTCTGGGATGGTGTAAAAATCATCTCCACAGCATGGTTTAAGAGTGGCGTAAGGGTGTTTTAAGGGTGGTTTAAGGGTAGAGTAAGGATGTTTTAAGGGTAGCGTAAAATGTTTTAAGGGAGTTTTAAGGGTAGCTTCAGCGTGGTTTAAAGGTGGTCCAAGGCTTTAAGTTACGCTTCGCTACCCTAGACTACGGTTAAACCACCCTTAAACTACCCTTAAGCCCCTCAAAAACCACGCTTAAGCCACCAGATTGATATACTCCAAAATCCCAAGATACATCTACGTACTCCAAAATCCCAAGATACCTCTACATACTCCCAACTCCCAAGTTACCTCTACGTACTCCCAACTCCCAAGTTACCTCTACGTACTCCCAACTCCCAAGTTACCTCTACGTACTCCCAACTCCCAAGTTACCTCTACGTACTCCCAACTCCCAAGTTACCTCTACGTACTCCCAACTCCCAAGTTACCTCTACGTACTCCCAACTCCCAAGTTACCTCTACGTACTCCCAACTCCCAAGTTACCTCTACGTACTCCCAACTCCCAAGTTACCTCTACGTACTCCCAACTCCCAAGATACCAACACGTATTTTCTATTATTTATTGAAGAGCTTTCACAAACCTGTAAGATGGTCTCCAGGTTAACAAAACAATCATCGTCAGTTTTCATTACAAAGGAAAAACTTAAAGTCGCCGAGAGCCTATTTAAAAAAAAGCCGACATGAAGCAAGATCAATATGACATATGACGACTGATGTCGTAGGTAGGAGATACTGGCGAGATGAATTATACACTAATGCAAGTTATTTGGGCAAAAATAATGTTTAAAGTTGATTTGAGACTGTCCACTTATCGCCAGAAATTTCACAGTGGCATGAAAAATATAAAAGTCTCAGACACTCTCTTACCACGAGAAAAACTGAAGCAACTGGGATGGAAGATTTCTGTAAACATCGACATTTGAAACAAAAGAATATCAGAAATAGTTCTGCTTTCTTTAAGTAAACGTTCATTCTCATCGTCTTTCAATCGCTGCCACTCCGACATTCGAGTTTCTTCTTCCTCTTTTGTCACGACTCTCTTCCCCGGAGAATCTACGGAGGATTGCAAGTTGCTACAGACTTTAAAGAAATTTATTCATAAAGCATTGTACCATCTTTTCTTTTAATATTTGGTGAGGGAATATTAGTGTTTGGCACTAGGCTTTAAACTTCATATGAGTCTGCACAGTCCATTTGACAAATTTTTCAATTTCATAGTCATGGTAACGACAAGCTGGATCTATTTTCATCGCTTTCTGAGTGATTAAATCGTTTGGTCACATAAATGTACGCAAAATCATCTGAGCATGCGCAGTACGCTTGGAAATGCGCAGTACAAGCAAAGTCTATTTGACCAATTGTCTGAGTAAACGATCATGGAAATGACCAACTGCATTTATTAGAATCAATTAGGGAGTAGATAACTTGCTTACTAACAAATTATTAAAGATATCAACTGAGCATGCGCAGTTCACTTGACAGTTTTTGACTTCATAGTTATGGCAACGACCAGCTGCATCTACAAGCACCGAATTTGAAGTAAATAGCATGCTTAGTAACAATTAAATGGATAAATCATCTGCGCATGCGCAGGAGCATGCGCAGTACATTCGACCAATTGTTTATAGTCATGGCAACGACTAACTATATGTACTTGCACTATATTTGTGGCAATTAGCTCACTTAGTCGCAAATTATCAAAGAAATCATCTGGGCATGCGCAGTAGTGACTTTAATAATACCGCAACTTTCGTAAGCCTCTGAATTTTGTATATATATATAAAGCCAATATTAGGTATAGTAGATGTCAACTAGCAGTGGAAGCTGGGTGCGATATGTATGCAGTGGCTTAGGGTCCAGACGTTTCGGGTCGCGACCGCACTCTCCCTGCGTACCCCGAGCAAAGCCTATCGCAGGTGATCTCGGGGTCTGATGGGCGGAAGCTTGCTATTGCATCTCCCAAGTAGGATAGCGTGGAGGGGCCGAAATCTCCTACCGAAACGTTAACATGCGGCGTTCTAGTGCCTCGGCTTAAGCAGGTATCGGGAAGCATGGACCGAAAACGGGGTTTTGCTTTTGAATTTAATCTTTTTTGTATAAAAGAAACTAGAACATTCAAGGATATTGCAAAAGTTAAAAAATTCCGCCTTAATGACTTATAATTTAAACCAACTGTAAATATGTTTATACGCTTTTACATGTTAACTTTTACAAGGTAACTATCTCATAACTCTCGTGATGAACGAGAGCCTCTTATACAATATAACTCTCATATCATGAACAAAAGTATCCATGAGCTTCATGGAAAAAATGGATTATCTAATTCTTATAATAGATTTTACAAAGTTAGCATTTAATAAGCCAAGCCATTTGTATCGTTTAAATCAGGTCACTAGAGTCCTGAGAAGGACTGCTGGTGTTTATGTTGACTGACGTTTCGACAACTTTAGTGGTAGTTATCTTCAGAGTCAAGTGAGGAGTAAACGTCAGGTTTGCCATATTTGTTATCTGCTTGCAGACGTTTACTCCTCACTCGACTTTGAAGATGACAACCACTAAGGTTGTCGAAACATCAGTCAACATCAACACCAACAGCCCTTCTCAGCACTCTACTAACCTGTACAAACATGATAACGATACTCCCGAGCTCAAACAATTCACTTGATATTTTGATAAATTATCGACTTGTTACTCACCTTTGGCAAAATAAAGTTTTCAATTGCTTTAAACGACGAACCGTTTTCTGTTGTACCAGGGTCTTGGAAAGAGAAATAAACAGATATAATTTCGCTCTGAAACGAGATAAAACAATTTAGATCAAATAACTTGTAAACGGTATTTATAAACTGCATGGTTTAACCTTAGTTGTTCTGTCGTAGAGTCGAACAGAAGAGTTTCTTTTTGAATTCAACGATGATAAAGAGATGCCAAGACGAGTCAAAATAATGGGACGGATGATCTGTATAAAAATAATTGTATTGTATTGCCAACCCAAATTTTTACTCCTGAAGCCAAACAGACACTTTATGCAACAGGTTTCAGACTTTGTTCAGAAGGTCCCAAAGTTCAATGCAACAGTGTCCGTTGAGCAGTTCTTAATGGCTACAAATAACTAACTAATACTCACATCAAAGTCCCATCCGATAGATCCACTGTGAAAATATCTCAAATTTTCTTCATTTGCTCGTTTGTAAGCAATTACTTCATTTTCGTAGTCTAAACATCAATATGACAAACATATAAACACGTTTGATCATGCACTCGTTCCAGCCTCTATGACGGTAAAATCTCCATGAGAGATAGCAACACATATTTCCATCAAGACTGTCTGATCTTCGCTACAAATACATACAGCAATGATAAATTCGCAGCAGTGGCTGATTAATAATTATGGAGCATGTAGGCTAAGGCAAAATTACGAGGCCTGGTGATATTTAATCCCTCCACTAAGCTCAGTCTCTTGACAACGTTTGCGTTCTTTACGTTCCTTTGCCTTTGCATTTCCTAGCTTGCGTTTGTAACACATAGTGTGAACGATACAAAAGAAATTAATAGTTCAAAATAAACTTTAAAAATTATCAAAACAGTCTGCAGAAATAGGGAAATCCTCGTCAGTTCTTAGCCTCGCGCATTTAAACACTAGATGGTACGAAAGTCTTTCGTCGATATTCAATCGCACGTACGGTTTTCAACATCATAAATGGTCTAAAAACGGCACTTTTAGCAAGTTCCAAGCAGCAAAAAGTAAAAACTAACAATGTCTTGGTTTACTTTTCGTAATGAGTAATCCGCAACTGATTAACTTTAAATATCACATGTATAGTAGGTTATGTTCGACGTTTGTAAATATGTGCCTCGTTAGTTTATCGCCTGCATCGAGATTCCAACGTCATATTGTTTTATATCGGCTTTTTCCAGGCGCCAAACCTCACAACTATCAAATCAAAAGTAAATTTTCAAACTTGGAGATTCGATTTTCTTTCTTTCGCATTTGTAAGGATCAATCCTGAACTCTGGAGGAACGTAACATGCATTATTTGAAACGATGAACTTCACCAACACTCTAAAACAACAATGGAATAGTAACCAACACTTTATTTTTTCAGATTTAGTCATTGTACTTAGTTATATCACTGGTACAATTTTTTTTTTTGCGACAGAAACGGTTGTTGGGAACTCTGGCCAAGAAAACCACAGCAAAGAAAGGGATATTTTAGGCAAGTGTACCGTGAACCGTTATTTCTTGTGAATATTCGAGTTTAGCCTCAATACAATGACGTTAGTCAACACAGTTAAATTTATCATATGACAAAGAATGCAGTTTGTATGAGTTGTTCTTGTGTAGAACAAAACTGATAAACAAAACTAAAGACCTTGCTGTTGGTATATTCAATAAGCCATCATAGAAACGCACAACGCTACACTACTTAAAGAATGGCGGTCAGCTAAAAATGTCCAATTCGATTCTACGTAGATCTGACAATTGCTAAAACGTTACTCATATCGGTAATCAGATTAGTTTACCAAACATTTCACTGGTATTGAAGACATACGTTGTAAACGTTCACTGGTATTGAAGAAATACGTTGTAAACGTTCTCTGGTATTGAAGAAATACTTTGTAAACGCTCTCTGGTATTGAAGAAATACGTTGTAAACGTTTTCTGGTATTGAAGACATACGTTGTAAACGTTCTCTGGTATTGAAGAAATACGTTGTAAACGTTCTCTGGTATTGAAGAAATACGTTGTAAACGTTCTCTGGTATTGAAGAAATACGTTGTAAACGTTCTCTGGTATTAAAGAAATTCGTTGTAAACGCGACAGGCCAATTTGAAACACTGTTCTACACTTTACCTTCACAAATATTGTGTTTTCTGTAACGTTTCACACGCTAAGTAGCTCTAATTGAATACAAAACACACTACAGCTACCCTCAAGAAAATTCAGTGTTTTCCCTGTGCTTACCTTTTATTTAGAGATGAATGTCGTCTTGCATAGCCAACCCATGATTCACGTAAACTTTGCCTCAAATCAAAGTTGCCGCGCGATGAAAGTATTCCAACGACCAAATCATAATGAGAATAATTCTCTGCTGTCAAGAACATTATTTTAAAACATTAAAGAAAACAAGTGGAAACACAAAACAAAACTATGTAGGATAAAGTTTTTAGATAACATGGTTAAATAACACTAGCGAAAGTTTCAATAAAAGATCACTCTTGATGAAAACATAAGACTGGAGTATATAAGGACTCAAGATTCAACATCAGATCACTCCTGATGAAGACACTAGACTGGAGTATATAAGGACTCAAGATTCAACATCAGATCTCTCCAGATGAAGACATTTGTCTGGAGTATATAAGGACTCAAGATTCAACATCAGATCACTCCTGATGAAGACACTAGACTGGAGTATATAACGACTCAAGATTCAACATCAGATCACTCCTGATGAAAACATAAGACTGGAGTATATAAGGACTCAAGTTTCAACATCAGATCACTCCTGATGAAGACACTAGACTGGAGTATATAAGGACTCAAGATTCAACATCAGATCACTCCTGATGAAAACATAACACTGGAGTATATAAGGACTCAAGATTCAACATCAGATCACTCCTGATGAAACATAAGACTGGAGTATATAAGGACTCAAGTTTCAACATCAGATCACTCCTGATGAAGACACTAGACTGGAGTATATAAGGACTCAAGTTTCAACATCAGATCACTCCTGATGAAGACACTAGACTGGAGTATATAAAGACTCAAGTTTCAACATCAGATCACTCCTGATGAAGACACTACGCTAGAGTATATGTAAACTTATCTTTCAAAAACATATCGTTTATACTCAAGATATTAGATAGACGTACGACAATCTATAATGTCATATAAATCACGATAAAAATCTGGTCCCCGGAGTCGACATGCTATCAGGCAGGCAACAAACAAAGATGAGATAGCTGTACAAACCTGTATTATCGCAGCAAAGCTTCAAATCTTTAACAACAAGATGATTATAGATGTATAACACGAAAATAGCGATCAATATTAGTAAAGTTGGCTTAAGGATGTCATTTAATGTAAACATAAGTTGAAATTAAACAGTTACAATTAACTATAGCGTATAAATATCTTTCCCTATGTAAAATAATCTATACATTATCCTCAATAACGAACTATACACATTATTGCATTTTAATATATACGAACTTTGACCTCGGGTGTGTTTCGGAAACGTCATGTAAGGAGTCTTAAAGCATCAATATAAATTAGCAAACTTTGTGATCTATGTTACTTATTGAACTTAAATTGAGCAATACAAAAATCTTAATCTTCAACAAAACATATCCAAAATATTACTATGAATGTATAAAAAGTATAGAATCGCTAAAAAGATCACATTTGCACGCTTATTCAAAAACTCTTCTAAGGTTATCGTTTGCGCCTATTACGTAGGTTTGAGGGACAATATAAGTACATGCATGTACAACAAAAAGAACACGGGTGAAGGCTTTAATTCGTATTACTTACTTTTGAGTACAGCGCATGTGCAAGGAATGGTAGTTTACGAAGAGTTCGACCACTTAGTTGATAACTTTTTCTAAACAAGAAAATGAGAGAAAGAATACTTCGTAGGTTTATCACAGTGAGACGCTTGACTGCTCCTTGCAAGTTCAAAGGAGAAGGGCCTCCCAAAGAAACCTAACCAAAAGTCAACCAATATTCGTGATTATTTGAGAGTGGTCCATTACTTGATAACTACTGACTACGATAACAAAGAAAAAACATCTTTACGCCTTAAATGTAGATGTAATACAAAGTTAAATTTTATTTATGTTGCAAGTATTAAGACGGTATATTTTAAACCTCAGTCCTAAATTATTTGAGAACTCATCTGAACATGCACAAACAACTCAACAAACTGTTCGAGTTTACAATCATGGCAATGACAAACAGAACAAGCTTGCATCCTTCTGTGGTTCACTTGGTCACATATTGGGAAATCATTAATTTCAATCATAATGAGAAATTTAGTCATTTAACAAATTTTTCATATTCATAGTGATGGCAACAACAAGCTGGACCTATTTTCATCACTTACTGAGTAATTAATCGCTTGGTCACAAAAATATAAGAAGATCATCTGAGCATGCGCAGTACTTTTGGGCATGCGCAGCACGCTCAAGCATGCAAAGTCCACTTGACCAATTGTCCGAGTAAACGATCATGGAAATGACCAACTGCATTTATTAGAATCAATTGGGAGTATATAACTTGCTTATTAACAAACTATTAAAGATATCAACTGAGCATGCGCAGTTAAATTGATTGGCTGCCAATGTTCATGGTCATGGCAACGACCAATTGCATCTACTAGCCCCGATTTTGAAGTAAATAGCATGTTTAGTAACAATTTAATGGAGAAATCATCTGCGCATGCGCTCGAGCATGCGCAGCCCACTCGACTAATTGTTTATAGTCATGGCAACGACTAACTAGATGTACTTGCACTACATCTGGGGCAATTATCCCACTTAATCGCAAATTATCAAAGAAATTATCTGGGCATGCGCAGTTGTGACTTTAATAATACCACAAATTTCGTAAGCCTCTGAATTTTTGTATATATAAATATAAATCTATAGCTTCATATAGTAGATGTCAACTAGCAGTGGAAGCTGGGTGCGATATAGTATGCAGTGGCTTAGGGGTCCACACTTCGGTGGCGACCGCACTCTCCCTGCGTACCCCGAGCAAAGCCTATCGCAGGTGATCTCGGGGTCTGATGGGCGGAAGCTTGCTATTGCATCTCCCAAGTAGGATAGCGTGGAGGGGCCGAAATCTGCTACCGAAACGTTAACATGCCGCGTTTTAGTGCCTTACGCTTAAGAAGGTATCGGGAAGCATGGACCGAAAACGGGGTGTTTTTTCCTTTCAAAATTTGTCTTTTTTCTTTACAAGAATTCTTCTCATAAAAGAAACTAGAACATACTGCCAGGGTTCAGACAACTTCTGAAAATCCCCCGGGCGTAGTTTCGTTTTCTTTGTAAAACGAGAAGAATACTAACTTGAAAACATGAAGACTGGGTGACATAATATTTACCATAAACTAAGACAAGAAATGTTTATTTTACTCTGTGACATCACTTTATATTAAAGTGAAAGGTTTGAACATGGGAGTATCGTTACATGTTTGTAGATGTAGATCGTCCAGGTTAGTAAAGTCCTGAAAAGAACTGTTGTTGTTGATGCTGACTCTAAAGATGACTACCGCTAAGGTTGTTAAGAAGTCAGTCAACATCAACATCAACAGTCCTTCGCAGGACACCACTAACCTCGACGATCTACATCTACAAACATCTACTTCACTTACTCGGCTATCTTCTTTAATTCAAGACTACAGTGTGTTACATCGTTGTCGACAAAGCTACAATGGAAAATAGGAAAAAAGTTGTACATCGGAAAAGAAAACCATGTCATCAACATAGAAGTGAACAAAAATTTCTAACAAACACCGTCAATTTTCGTCAAAATAAAATTTCGTGTATTTTTCAGTTGTACCTTAAATCCAAAATTTGAGTGGCTGGTGATATGATACTGGTCTGTGATGAAACGGTGAACATTAATTTTGATTATTAAAAATTATCTACAATGCAATCGTTTGCAATCAATTTCTATATAGCTGCACACCTCTCTATTTAAGCAACATGTTTGTATAACTTGCACAAACGACTATATTGTGGTATGGAAATAAAGCAGTAGACGTAAAGGTACAAAGTACTGAGAAGAGGGATATACTTCACGAGGCAAATTGTTGTTTTATATTGTATATGATGACAGGTTGCGGTAAGCCATTTCGGCGTTCCTTTGGCCAGAAAACATAATTGACCGGCAGCCATTTCGTTGATCACGTGCACAAGAAGACATAAGTTACATACAAACAAATGGTAAATTTTGTAAATAGCTTTGGCTGATGGCGGACCAATATACTGTTTGATGTCGGCTCTGTGGGCGAACAAATAGCGAAGTTAGATGAGAAAGTGAATTAAAAACTTTCGAGTCACAAACATATTTTCAACCTGTCCACGAACGCAACGTCTATGGCTCTAGTTATGTTCGATGTTGTCAATATAATTACATTAGGATGTCTGAAATAAGAAGAAAACAACATTGGGAAGACTAGGTTTAGCAAATAAACGCATAAATGTAGTTCAAATCAAGACTTCTGTAAATACGTAATTGATAGATAATAAGTATTTGACGGAGCAAAGTTGTCATCAAGCAAGTTTGTTCATGTCATATAAATATTTTCGTGCTTTTACTCCCTGTAAAAGCTACAACATTGTAGAGAAAGAAATAATACATAGTTCTAAAGATAGCAAATACCATAGTGAATGGTAAATGTAATATAATAAGGAAGATTGTTTTACTCTTGAACACAATACATAGAGACACATATATATAAGGATTTCCGGTTGTATTTCATAGTTGATACATCTTGACTTACAATTCACTGACTGACAACGTCAATCAAAACATGAACGACTTATTATATAGAATGTAAACGGTCCATATAAAACATCCGTTTCCCACAAAAAATTAATGCCATTTCCAACCACCCAATCTTCCTCCAAGAATGAACAAACAGTAAGTTCTTATTAATTGTATTCATACAAATTCTATTAGTTTACATCGAAGTTTCGAATACTTGGCTATCATTTGAAAAATTGTTTTGATTTAGTCAAATTTTATATTACATACGTATGATCTTATTTTAATTACAAAAAATTTCTATGAGAATATCAAGTGTACGCTGCTTGAAATTTTGTGCAAGTTATTTCAAAATAGGTGGCAGAAGTCTCTTTTGGAATACTTGAATTTCTTTTTGAAATTCTTCACTAAATTAGAGAGCGAGGGAACTCTCTAGTTTAGTTAGAATATTGTAAAAAATCTTTTATGTGCATGTTTTTGTGTTTTTGTGCATGTTTATGATCATCTGCAAACACCGAAGAATGGAAGTCGAAAATTTTGTCTTCTCGAAACATGCCTTCTTTAAATTTTAATATCTTCTCCAAAAATAAGTAATAAATATTGGTTTAACTTATTGCAAGAACCGTTGCTTGACAATGACAGGTTACGGCCATGTGGTTCTGAAAGAAATTGAAGCAAAGAAGATTTGATGAACGATACAAACAAATACATGCTTACATCTCTGTTCTGCTATTCTTGATCTTATCGACCTCTGCATCTGAAAAATACTGAGGAAAAAGTTGCAGTATGATGAAGCAAACAAGCAAACAACTGACAAACAAACACATACCGCAGTCTCAATCTTCATCGTTCAGTGCCATGAATAACTGTAAGAATAATGTTAAAATACAATCACGACGAACTGTAGGAGCATATAAATTTTCAAAAACCAGTGTTTGCAGACGATCTGTCGAAATTTCTATCAAAACTGGTACTTTACGATGATTTCCAGAAAACAGCTGTAAACTGCAAACATTTACAGGAAAGGTTTACTTTTATGGCACAAAAAGTTACTGTCAGATTTTCAAACGAAGTCAATCATCTCCATTGAACATAATGGACAGACGAGCATTCATGACGAGCCCTCAAGTTGGATTCGAAAATTTGAAACAGTTTCCTCTCCCGAGGAATTATCTTTATGATTGCAATAGTTCTATACAATCATGCAAAATAGCTATTTTGGCTAAATCATTTACCAAACATTAGAACATCACCGGAAGTTAAATTTTTTATTGCTTTGTAGACACTGTTATAACATCCCTCAATATTATAACAGTGCAATCATAGGCACAAATAAACCATTAAATATTCAAAGTAGACGGCTAGTCTGACTGGCTCGTGATAATCATTTCGCATAGATGTTGAGTTTAAAGATTTTTGCAATACTCTGCCAGCGTATTGCAATTTCTCTTTCAACCATGATGATTGATTTAATGTAAATTAGATTTTGTTTTAATTTTACACAAGATATGAGCGCAAAAGCACTCTTTTATTACTGCACGAGAAGGTGCTTTGGTGCTGTCTTTGGTCATACTAGTCTTACAGCACAAGCAAAAGTGATTATTAATTGTGAAACAAGACAGAATAAATGAAGGATTAGAATCAACATGAGCATAAACAAAACAATATTCAAAAGAATTTCCGTTTTCCTGGTCTTTTAGGTCTCTTGAGAAAACAAAATTGAATGCATGGTTTGAATAGAATAAGCATAAACGATAAAACTTTATTTCTTTTTCTCTTCAGAGTTTACACAGAAAGACATGGAAATCTTCTTTCGTTTTCTCTTGTTCTTTTGTGTTCTTCTTTCAGCTAATGCCTAACACATTTCCTTAAGCCTGTGTAATGGTGTAACTTCGCTCTTTTGAGTGGGTGGGAGGAGCTTTAGGAATAAATTTGCCCATAAAAAGCGTGGTGTTATTTTTTATGTTGTTTCCTAAGCTGAAAGAAGTATAAAATATTGAAAAGAAGAATATGATTTTTGATGTTTTTTTCTGTAAACCCTCGAGAGAGTCATAAGCACGCTAGCTGCTTATGCTTGTGATTACGTAGATGTTAATGTTCCAACTTTTGCTTATTGTTTTTCTTTAACACTTTATTGACACTTGACACAACATTCAAAAATAGATATATTCTATTCAAACAGTTCATGAAAAAAATTATTGCTTTGTTCAGACAGTTGGATTGGCTGGATTTGAACAGGACGTTCTATACGAGAAGGGATTACGTTGGTTTTATTCAGTTATTTTGGGGATGATTGACGTATTATCAGTGTACCGTATGTCAAGAAGCATCCTATGGTGATACAGGTGAGCCATCACCCCTCAGATTAAGCTCTAGGATATGTTTGCTACAATGACGGAATCGTTGTAACAAAGTCTTCTGTTCTTACTTCATATGCTTCATCTTGTTTTATACAGTTTTCCAAAATGACTCAACTGTAAATATTGTAAAACAAGCACGATTAAAAGCGTGTATATAAATTTGTAAAATTTAAGAATTGCCCAAGAATTTGTCCAAACAATTAATTTTTGAGAAATTTCCAGAAATTTCCTTCAAATAGGCCATTCTTTTCTGAGAAATTTCCTTAGAAATAAGACCACATTTGACCATCGTTATCATGTTAACTGCTTCATGTAAAGTTATATATCGTCTTCCAAGAAAACAACATAACAATTTTTAATTTTAAACCTCACAAGCATTCGTTCTCCGCAAGAATATTTCTCTCCACATATCTGTTGTAAAAGAGTGAAAGACAAATAATATTTTAAAGAACATATAAAGTTTTTTTTGAAAGCTGAAACAAGGTAATAGATATATATGTTATTGTTATGCCTGAGTCTGACTTTGAGTTTCATAGCGGGAAATTGAAACGATATTTATTTTTTATTTCTATATAGCAAAGATATTTAAGTTTTTTTTCCTACACAGCCAATATTGTGAATAATCTTTTGTATAACATCTCTAACTAAAGCAATATCGTTAAAATGGATAAAGTTCAAGAACTTTCTGAAGCACTGCCTTTACCAAGTCAGCCATTCTTAAACGTCGAAGTAAATGAATGCAAAGAAAGGTTAGTTCATAATATGAACAAAGGACTGTATGCAGAAGGATATTGAATTGCATTTCATGTAATAATCTAGTTGAGTGAGTCTGTGTTAGTGAAACCATGCTACAGGTGAAACTAGGTAATGAACAAATCATGTTTTTGTTTTGTAAAGAAACTTGAATAATTTTAATATGTTACTAGATTGACGTCACTGGTCATATGTTGTGCTTCAACAGACTCACTTCTTCAAATACCACTGTGCTGTCAAAACGTGAACAAAACCATTTATTCAATTTAATAATAAGCATTAACATCTTAATAGTATTTACCACTTTATTTTAGCACTATCCCAGAGTATAGAATTATAAAGCTTGTCAAAGACTTTCTTATCAACATGTGTGTACTGCAACTAATGTGTGTACTGCAACTAATATTGCCACGTAATTTTATTGTTATGTCGTGAATTATAAATACAAAGTATAATCCGAAAAAGGACATGTTGTAAACTCAACATCAAATTTAGAAAACAAGACATCTTAATAGTATTTACCACTTTATTTTAGCACTATCCCAGAGTATAGAATTATAAAGCTTGTCAAAGACTTTCTTATCAACATGTGTGTACTGCAACTAATGTGTGTACTGCAACTAATATTGCCACGTAATTTTATTGTTATGTCGTGAATTATAAATACAAAGTATAATCCGAAAAAGGACATGTTGTAAACTCAACATCAAATTTAGAAAACAAGACGATTAAAAATGTAAATATTACACTTTCAATTGTTTTGCTTTGTAACTTTTATTAAAGCATGAATGTCAAGCATCATTTCCGTATCTTGCTGCATCATCACTTGTTTCATTAGCATCAGCACATTTTCCTTTATCGCAAATTGCTTATTCTGCTAAACCATCACCATATTTTCTAATTACTTGTCCTGAGGTAAGATGCCTTACATTGTAGTTAGCAATTTTTTGGTTTTTTGAAAATGGACTTTTATATGAAAATAATCCTTTTCCAGCGTTAGGAATATTTAAAGTTTTAATTCTTAAATTAAATTTTTTTCCCAAGTGAATCCAACATAAATTGGTCATTGAAATTTTTTTCAACATTTTACATTTTTCAAGATAATTCCATCACATTGTTGTACTTTCCTTATACTTTGTTTCATTTTTAGTAAATTAATCTTATTCCAGCATAAAGTTCAATATTTTGTTCAATATATTCAATTAATTTCTCAATTTGTTTTATAATATACTTCTTTAAATTGTCGACTGGTCATGGTTTTTGGTCCCAACTAAATATAATTTACGAAAACTATTTAAAAAAAGATAATTTTTTTTGGTAATTTTTTCTAAAGATAATTTAGATACAATAATTTATGATTCAAGAGTGAATAATCACAAATCCTTTCACATAGTGATAAAGTAATTATTTTTATATGGTTAAATGATTCCCACTATGACTTAATCTTAAATCCTAAACTTTTTTCAAACTTTAAGCTAGATTTATTTTGCTTCAAATGCATGCATTATCTAAATTTTGATGAGTATGTGAACTCTCATATATGTAAAAATGAAGATACATGCTTAAAATGTTATTCGAATGTAATATAATTTTTTAATCTGCAGATTGTTTTAAAACGTTTGTTTAATGAATTGTTTAATTATAAGAACAATATTAAAGTCACTCCTTGTCAAAATTTTTTTATAATACATGTAATAAAATTGTTCCAAGATTTTTTCTTCAATAAGAAAAATAAGGTTGTTTTTCATGATTGTCAAAAATATATTGTGCTCATTTAGAAAATATTTGGACAAACAACATAAATGCACACCAATATTACTTTTCTTTGATTTTGAAACAAAAACTCATGTAAATAATTTAATGATAAAGATGGATTTCAAAAAAGCAAATACCATGGTGAATGGTGATAATAACAATATAATAGTTCTTAAAAGAACTGTTTTGCAGAACACTAACCTAACAATTCAAAGGAACCGTTATTTACAGCTAGAAAGAGACACTATGCATTTCGGCAGACTACTCGTCAGGTGTCAACGTCTGCTAAATGAGAAACTCAAATCATGCTATATTTATAATGTTACAAAGGTCAATGTCATCCCTATTTAATCTGTCTTTGTTTTAAATGTCACCACGACAAAGTCTCTATTTCAAAGCGATCATGAGAATACATATAATATGTTAATCATAACACGGTTTTATACATTAACATGTGACTTGGACGAGATATGAACTCACACTTTCGAGATACTAGTCCGTCGCTACCTGTTGAGCTGCCAAGCCCAGGGATTGGAACGATTCAAATCTCTTAAACTGCGCATGGAGAGAGATTCTCGCCACTATAGTAGTTTACTGGATGGCACCGTGTTTCGACTTTATTCCAAAGCCATCATCAGAGTGACATATAATATATTAATCCTAACACGGTTTAATATGCACATGAAAAATGTGACTTGACGTGATTTGAACTCGCACCTTTGGATACTAGTCAGCCATCCAGTAAACTATAGCTCAACAGGTAGAGCAGCGACTAGTATCCCGAACGTGCGAGTTCAAATCGAAATACTTTTATTGCATATTAAAACTTGTTAATATGCACATGAAAACTGGATTATTATATTATATGTATTTTCTGATGATGGCTTTGAATAAAGTCGAAACATGTGCCATCCAGTAAACTACTATAGATGGCGAATCTCTCATCGATATGCAGTTTTGAGATTTGTCAATCGGCATTAGCTCAACAGGAGAGCGGCGGACTAGTATCCCAATGCGAGTTCAAACTTCTCCAAGTCACATGTTTTCATGTGCATATTAAAACTGTGTTAACACAATATCTTATATATTTTCTGATGATGGCTTTGGAATAAGTCATAAACACGGTGCCATCCAGTAAACTACTATAGTGGCGAGAATTTCTCGTCCATACGCAGGAGCGGATCTAGAGTATGTCAAATATGTCGCGCGACTAATGTTTGAAATTAAAATTACCTAGCATATTAATTAAAATCATTAATTATTCTTACTTTATTATCGCATTTACTTCGTGATTAAAATCCAGCTTTATTTATTAAAACTAAATAATCCAATGAAATCTCGTTGGTAACCAGATCAGTTGAATTTTAATTGACCTGGAATAACCGACTGATAAGCGGGTGGCTTGACTGGTTCGACGGATAAAAGTCTATGAACGCAAAACCGCTTATTTTATTGGTCCAATGGCCAGATCAGTGGACAGTCTAGAATGGTCTCGACTGATAAGAGGGTGTCTTGGACGTATAAGGAGTCCTTAATTTCTGTTGCCAGTCTCCTTAAATTTGCGCGGTTTTGCAATGCATTCTGGGATCGCCAGAGGCAAACATTTGTTTAGAAATATATCTGTCATAGTGATATTTTCGAGAATTCTCAATTTAAAGCACCATTTCCATTGTAATGGGTATCAGTTACCAGTTAAAGAAAAAGTAAAGTATGTGGATGACGAAATTACTTCAACTGCATCGAGCAGTTGCGTTAACTTATAAACGGTGGAAAACTTAGCTCATAAGAAATGTGTAACGTGTTTTGATACAAAATCCGGCTACTTTTTGACCGTATTTATTTCGATACGAATCGATGGAAAGGCATCTGGAGTGAAGCATTATGTCCGCTTCGTGGTGAGAAACAGTGGATTTGTACGTTTGAGCCACGGCCTTGCAGCATGAAATTTGTGTTTATGCTATCTTGAGCAGAAATAGTTTTATTAACTCCTCGCCTAGCATTATTTTTTCCATCTGTTAAAATGTGACTTCAATACGATCGGAAATATACGTACTCGACTTAATGGTCATTGTTTGCACTCCATTTCTCTTCCATTTGACTTGGTGCAAGCAAAATGGTAGTTCAGTATAATGAGCAAATTTGCGCAAATTTAAGGAGACTGGCAACCGGCAAATACTTCATTGCTATCTTACAATTGGTTCATTTGAATTTTTGTTTTATTGTGATTGGTTTGACGGATTTCGACTAATAGCCAACTGAACTAACATAGTCAAGCTCACTGTCTGAATTGAATGTTTGATCGTTTCATAGCAATTTTATAAGCATGATAGAAACTAAACTACAATCAGATGGATTTTATGGAAATCTTTACAAATTCATATATTGACATGAATGAAGCTGTCCAAACTGTGAACTTTCAAGAGGGTGAAAAATTTATGTATAAATTGTAAATGCTTGGCGAAGACGATCTCGCGAGCGACATTTCAGTCATTGATGTTCGAAAGCCAACATTGTTTTGAGTTTTATCAAAGAAATTTACATCCAAAATCGTAAGTAAAGGACAAGTGAAGTGTATGCATGAATGTAATATATCAAAGTCAATTTATGCGAGTATGTGATGCGATTTATGTCAATATGCCATATGGTAAGCAGATTGATGCTTCTAAAATTGTTGTTGCCGAAGGAGTTTTAGCTATAATTTCTTTAGTGCTTGGGGAATCGTGGCCGTTATATGGCAGCAAAATCCTACATTCCTGCAAATATATTTCAATGGACAAAAAATCTGTAGCCATAAGGCGCCATACTATTATTTACTTTATCATAAGCAAATGTTTGGGGCTTTTCAGTTTATGATCATTGATCATTCAATCATTGGACAGTTATACTACATATTGTTTAAGATTTGAGAAAACTAACATTGATTACATGAGAAGCTGTTTACTATAACCTGTGATTTTGAGTCTTCTGATCCATGAAGCTTTTTATTTTGACAATTTGACTGGAATGGTATTAAACCTGAGTATTTCACATACATGAAATGTTGTCCCATGTCACATATTGTCCCCTTTTCAAACTGAACACCTCATGTAGAGATGTAAAGGTGTGTTAATCTATGGCTCATACCATAAAATCCAAAGGGCTATTGATGTATGAAAAGCATTTTTTATAGAGTAAAAATGTCTTCCTATGTATGCAGATAAACCTTGAAATTTGGCAAAACAGCAAAGTATTTTCATGATCACTATGTAATTTTTCTGATGATCATTATAATTTCTAAACTAAATTATTTCAGATCAAAGCGAGCTTTGATCATATCAAAGATATTTATCATAACCAGTAAGCATGACACATGAACCAAATATAACATTCATGTAATTATATAATTAAAGACATGTTGGTTACATTCTGTTTGTATTTGCAAATACAATGCTACTAGTGATTGCTATATAGCACACCTTGCATATACTTACAGAAGATAATAGTCTAGTGAAATGCCTAATAAACATTTATGACATTAAGCTGTCCTTAACTGCAAATTTTTACTCTGATAATTTTTGCTTAATCTTTGGCAGAAAAATTTTGAGTTTTTCTCAAAAGTGAATTTGCTGACACTG